CGGGGGTTGAAACTTGGAGATCCAGTGAATTTCCCGGTAAGTGCTTGAATAACTGTCATCGAATGATTTTCACTCTTTGATGGCTTGCCTACCTCTGCCACGATCCAGAATTTGTCAAATCTGGCAAATCCAAGAACCTGATTGAAGAGTTTTTTTTTTTTTGTGAAATATGATGGTCCTTCCACCAGCGAAGGATGGTCTGTGAAAAAATTTTGAGACCCTGTCTTGTTCTGGTACGACTCGCACACAATTGCTGTCGGATCCGCGTCCCACTTGATATCCTTCATCCACGCACAATTGACCACATAATTCTCCACAAAGGTCCACTTGCGACCATTGTCGCGGGAATACTGCGCCTCAGCATGGCAATTCGGAGAGAGTGGGTTGTCGCAATCCTTGTTTCCAGTCCAGATAAGCTTGTCGGAGTCTGGATGGAACCGAAGAATCGGAGCAAGGAATGTGTTTGGTTGCGTTGGTGTGTAGTACGGGTTCCATGTCCGCCCACTATCGGTAGTACAGTAAATTTTGTTGATCTTGGTGAGGAGATATGCGCGCCCTGAGCTATAGGTATGCATGTAGAAGGTGATAAAGGATTCTTCGGGGAATAGTTGACTCCAAGTATAACCCTCATTGCTAGATCGCCAGATGGTGCGGTCGCTCAAATGGACAAGGATTGTCTGGGAGCATATTCATTCAGATCCTGATCTGTGCACTGCACAAAACACCTACTGTTGAATCTGGAAAGTAAGCATACTGAACAATGAAATACGGGAATCGGAACTGTGTCAATCATTGTTATCTTTATTGCAATGCAGGATTGAACACTGAGCCCTACTTTTCGGTGAAGGATATTGCCTTCTCCACGATGATCTAAATTATCAATCAGGTTTTCTCGTCAAGACGAATCAAGAGAACGCAAATGAAGAGATACCTGGTGAGCATGGCTTCGGAACTCGGTGATCCTTGCTTCCACCTGTGCATACATTACCAGGAATTTTCCGATACCCAGAAGAGCCCATGAATGTCTGGTTTGGTCTCTGGCAGGCACCAATAGGAATATCCTCTTGGGCAACAGGTATGCACACATTGTCTTCTCGGATGTAGTTGTAGTCACTGTTACCTCCAACAGTTAAAATGTGTGGCAGAGTAACAAAGAGAGAAACTGAACCACTCATAATCTGTGTCGGTACAGGGACAGGACTCGCCATAGTGTCCCGGTTGCATGATCGAGCTACTGACATAGCAGTCTGCATGGGGTTTGCGTCGCTTGTATTGTTGCTAAATAGCAGAACATTAGATTAATCAGCAGATCAGGTGGTGTACATACTTTGTATCCCATGACACATTCACTTCCTGGTGTGCTTGCATACCAGACCTCGAAGTCAACATCTGTGCACTTTTCCTTTCGCGTGTTCGCGAAATCAAGATATACGATGACATATGGGCCCACACTGGGTGTTTGGTCCTTGTGCGCAACCTGACCAATGAGAGTGAATTTTTGTGATTCGGAATGCTGTGAGGCACTGAGTGTGAGCGGCTTCAACCGGACTCCAAAGTTGTAAGATGTCCTGCAAAACATATGTCAGGAGTACTAAGACAATAAAAGGGCAAATAGACTTACCAGGTCTTCCCAGAGTCCAAAGAGTAGTGTAGGTCACTGATACCCTGCTCGTCAGGGATGGCAACTAGAACACTTCCAGAGTTTCCAAACGAGTACTTGTGAGGCCCTTTACTGATCATGCTCCAGGTGACACCGCCGTCAGTGCTCAGAAAGGTGTCACAATCCTCGGAAGGCAGGAGGTATTTTCCTACTGAGCCTACGGCAGCAATGAGCCCCGGGCCGAAAGGTGTAGAGGTTTGTCCGAAGGTGAGTGGGGTGGTAGGGGAATGTAAATGAAAGGAACAGGATTCTGCATCATCAGGGTTACACTCCATAGCAATGTCTTTGGGCGCACGAATGGGTGCCCAGGAGCTCCCGTCATCGAATGTCATAAGGGACTTCAGCTGCTTGGGTTCGCCCCTCCCTTCAACATATTCCGCATTCGCCACGACATTAACAAGACCAAAACCCCAGACACCAGCGACGAGCTCGTAGTCAACAAAGCCCATTTCGTTCCGATTTGTGTTCTTGACACTTTGAACAAAGAACGTTCCGTTGGAGTCGCTGACGAACAAGGTCCCGATGATGCCGTGGTCGTGAACAATGTCGACAGCCAGCGAGTCCATCCTGGGTTCAAGAATGGTGAACGTACCCTCGCGGAGCTTCGTGGAATCGGGAAATTGTGCCTTGATCCAGGTTTGTGCGTCTCGTGTCACATACAGCACCACTTCTCGTTGACTCTGCGGATAGGGAGCCTTGAGAGCAGCTACAGCAAAGTTGGCTACGATCGCAAAGCCGAGGACGCCGCCGGAGCTTTTGCCTATGCCAAGTTCTTCTACAGTCGTGTCTCGGTCAAAGAAATCCGTGCTCGAGAACAGACGGGACGACGAGAGGTCATGGTCACCGCGGGTATCGAAAGCAACACAATAGACGAGGTCCGGGTGCGAATTCTGGTTGAAGTAGCCGTTACTTTGTGAAAACTGACAACGGGATATTTCGGACAACATAAAGTGCGGCGTCGAGCTGAACGCATCTTTCGTCACGTACGTCTCCGCGCGCAAGTAAGTATGTAGACACCAATACATGAATATGTGAGGCCTCACCTCATCGTGGCATTCAGACGAATGCCCACACACGGTACCCTGGTAAAGAATATATCCAGACTTTTGAGGATCTGAATGGAAAGACAGTGGCGAGGCCACGAGCGCAGGTACGATGGGCACTTCGAACGCCCGCCAGGTCTTTCCCCCATCTTCGGTGCGGAAGTGAACTTTGGAGCGTGTCAGGACGAATGCCTGAGAAACGTCAGTGAGGAGGAGAGTCAAGGAATCCTAATAGCACGTACGAGAGAGCTGTGGAACGGATGTTCAATGAACATCTCTGCAACTCCTCTCGGAATGTCCTGGGAGACCATCCATGACCTGCCTTCATCCGAGGACACGTAGATGTTGCCCTCGACAGTGTCATGGTAGATTACGGACTGAAGGACGGTAAGCAGCCACTTGGACCAGGAGATGGTCCCAGGAACGTACCGTAGAATCACGGAAGAAGAACAACCGGGTAGGTAAGGCGGCAAAGGAGGTGATGGAATACTCTGGGTCATGGGCAGCAGCGAAAAGCTGATAGTGAAGGAAAATGAGGAGGAGAAAGGCAGCACGTAGATGTCGAAGCATGTCGAACCCGCACCACAGTCGATGCGAACTTGGTCTGATGTCACTTTTAAATCTTGTTTTCTTGACCTACTGCTGCTGAGTGTCGTGGATAGGGAAAGGGCATCGGGGATCCTCAGCTTTATTTAAATGCTTCCTCCGCGGAAGCAGTTGGCGTGTGCGGCATCATGAACGTGTCATAGAAACGATGATGAGATCCCGCGCATTCTCCCGTCCATTCAGTTGCCTGATCAACGCCCGCACACAGCGAACGGGAGCACTCATTGGATTTCGCATCCAGAGCAGAGTATAATCGGCATGAGCTCAGGCATCCCGAGATGGAGAGGTTCTGTTCTCGTACGACACCGCTTCTTATCCTCTGGCAGCATCTAAGAATGTCACGAACGTGTTCTCATGCCGGATGATGCGTATCATTGCAGATGATGTGCTGCCGGTTGACGTGGGTATGAGCGCCCGCTCTCCCAAATAAATAAAAATGTGAAACTGCGGTTGAACTGCGGTACCGAGTCAAGCAAGTCTATTCATCGTGGATTTAGTTGTGCATTTTGCGGAATACCATGCACTTGTAACCGCCTGTAACCACCTGCCGTTTTTTTTTCTTGAAAAAATAGGGACTGCTTACCTCGTGATGTTCAAATCGGGTGACATTCCGGGTGGGGCCGAAGACTCCAAGGTTATTTATGGCATTTTTGAGCGTACATTGAAACATAAAAATGGCAGCATATTATTTTTCATGAGGTCCATTTCCGCAAGCCACCTGAGCCATCTACATCTTAAATTTTTTTAAACCGATGCCGGGAACACCTCATCCAAGATTGGAACTTCGCTACAACAAAAACTCGAAAAACATAAAACCCCAAAGCGAATGACCTAACCCTAACCTGGATTCGAACCAGGATCTCCGGCTGTATAACTTCTCTTTCCGCGCCATTGAAAGCGGGCGCAATTCCTTTCGCCATTAGGTCTCCTTCGGCTGAAGTTGAATAAAAGGGAAAAGAAGACCACTGACCGATGGTCTGCCGGGTAAATGTCGGCGTTTTGAGTCAGCGAATCGGCCCCGAAAACCAAAGCGTTTATTTCACCCACCACTTAGCCCATAGTTGAACCAGGAAATGTTCGACCGACAACTGAAAGTTGGGATTCCTTTGAGTGACACTATGCAGGTCTTATTCTACAAAAATTCCGGCCCCTCAGAATCGAAACAAATATTCGCTGCGCATTCAAACGGTGGCATGGGTATCCCTTGAGGTTAGCTGTCCTCTGTACTCACTGTTGCAATATGAAGGAACGACAACCAAAAAAGGAGACACTGTAAAAGGAAATATGGAGTCGAACCAGGAACTGCTGCGCTGATGACTCTCCCCAAATTTTGTATCAAAAGCAGATACGGTCTGTTCGCTACTGGGTCTTACTCCCACTAAATACACCTTGGGTAAGTACGCCCAATTCGGGCCCGGCAATGTGCGGGTGCGGTCCCTCTGCTTGTAGGACTTCCGATGTGTGCAAATAGCGACCCAAAGTTCCTATCGAAGCGCCGCCACTGTCGTGCTGAGAAAATGCTGGTCGGAAGAATCGTACATCCATGTCCAGTCCGCATTACGCCGTCCTAAATCTTCCGTTTGGCGGCTTTCTCGAAGAGCCAAGCTCCTATGCAAGCCTTATTTCGTGCTGCACCTTGAATTTGATGGTCAGGGAATAGGGACAAAAAGACATCATCTACAATTCTCTCATGACCTAGCCCGGATTCGAACCAGGGACTCCCGCCGCATGTGATTCAGGAATCGCAAATTCAATGCGGATGGATGACCTTCGTTACCAGGTCTTGCTGCTACCTAAAACAGCTTGAATAGATGCTGTGAAACTCAGGCACACTAACTACCGGCGGATATCGACATTTATTTCAATAACTGTCAACGGACGACCTGCAATCGCGGTGCGATTTCTTCGCCACTAGGTCTTCCTCTTACCAACAAGACCTTGATAAGCTCTGTAGAATTCACATCCAAAGCCCTACACCATCCACACACCGATGGTTGAACGTCGCTATCTATATCTTGCGTTCACATCATGGACTCTGGTGAGGCACCGCTGGGCGCCCTGTGGTTGAATCCTGAGATTTATGGCAACGAATGCCGAAGAGAGGAAGAGGGGAAAAAATAGAGTCGAAGCACCCATGACTTCGTCTGGATTCGAACCAGGAACTCCCGCAGTATCAAGAGGACGCCTGCACTGAATACGGGCGCGAAGCTTTCGCCACGAAGTCTTATTCCTACCAATTGGCGTTGAAGAAGTGTTTTAGAATGCAAGCCCAAAGACATACACGGCCCATAAAAGCAACAGCCGCATGTTGACAAGCACCTATATAACGGTATCTCAAGTCCGAGGCATCTCACGAGCGAGGCACAAAAATACGCGTGGATCGAAGGCATGGCCTAGCCTGGAGTCGAACCAGGAACTCCTGCGTACAGTCGATGACGGACAGAATTCATAGGATCAGATACGGGCCCTCCGGTACTAGGTCGTATTCCTGCAAAGTGGGTCTTGGATAAGTCGGGACATTGCGGGCTGAAGAAAGGCACACCAATATCATTTGTATATCATTTGCGGACGACTGGGGAAGATAAACAAGGTGAGATTTGGATCATTATCTTACCTTGATTGAAAATTAAAAGGGAAAGAGGACGCACGGAGACGTGAAGGCCCATGGAATCTAGCGCGGCGCGGTTCGAAAAGGTGTTCTGTGAAGCTGAATATTTTTGGCGTACGTCTGATGCACTATCCCGAATTTCAGCATGAGCCGGTGCTCATCGCCTTCATGCACCGATTTGGCCAAGTGAGACTACATTTCTAGCACCGAGTGAGAACGCATCATGATCGGTGACGCAGCTTGACGGAAGCGCTCTTTATCTCTTTATGCGGGTCCGGGCCCCTATTTACTCGCTATCTGCGTGTTTTAGAGGGTGCATCGAATTCGGTTGCAAATGAATAATTAGTGGAATCAGCGATATTGTTGTGGCATCCAGTTCAACCGCGTACCATTTGAGTGGTAAGCAGAAATAACGGTCGGCGATGGGCTGAATCCGAGTCCGAAGGTAGGATAAACTTGAAGATTAAATATTAACGGACGAACAGCTTGCTCGCTGATTCATGCACGACGGAAAGATCGATAGGAAAAGGGGGCGTAGCGGCGGCGGGCATTGCCGCCATCAAGGTCCCACGCAATTTGATTGCTTACATCATACTCCCCTTTCCATCCGTTCACAATGTTCACAAATCCCCGCCTCCGTTATCCGGGTCCTGCCCATCGTCGAGCGAAGAACACAAGTCACAGACAGACTTGCGTCGTTTCAAGCCATAAATCGCCCGTCCCAGTGTCGGACGAGTTCGGGCTGATACACACACGTATGCAGCTACCAGCACACGAACTCCGTGGGTCGCCATCCTGGGGCTCCCAGCTGCCGCATTCATGCCCCTACGTCGCCTGGTCGCGCGCGTGTGCTCCGAGCTCCAGCACACGGGATTCGCCGCCCCGTTCTCCAGCTGATATCATGTGGTGCGCGGTGAGGGGAGTACTCAATCACTCTTGGCTTTTGTTCTTCATTCCTGGCACCACCCGTCCGCTATTCTATCCCTCTCCCCCCGCTCGATATATTCCTTCTACTACTCTCTTCTCTAGCTCCCCTGCTTCCGTCTCTGTTTTTTCTTCCTATCTCCTTTGGCTACCGCACCTCGACCCGCATGGACATTTGTCGGGACAGCATAGATATCTCCTCCACTCTTACACGCACTCCCATTCTGCGGAATATTTCGCGCTCCCTCCTTGCTGCATTCTCCAGCACTATAGCCCTGTGCGGCCTTCCCATTATGAGCAATGCTTTGCGGTACACTAGCCGATCTCCACTGCCTGCCCGGCCAGCTCCTCGTACGCTCACGGAGGACCGCCTTTCTACTTTTTTCCAACAGGCCGTGTTTCGAATCTCGACAGGCTACATCTCTCTCTCCTCGGTTTTTCGGCCCTCTTTTGAACTGTGCAATCGCTTTCGTGCCAGTGGGCTGCGCCTTTCTTCCGCCGATACCGCATTCTACGCGTACCTCTCTGGCTTGCATCTCTATTCTTACTCGCCGCCGAGGCCAGGGGACTTGGGTTGACTCAAATCCCCCTTTCTGGGTAGATCTATATTACTAGGTCTATTCATCCGGCTTGAGCTCTGTCCTCTGCATCCTCTGAGTATGAACTCTGTCGGAACAACATTATACCAGGTTCTTCTTCACAGCAAGACGTCACGGTCTACTCTGTTGCATTCGCATCCCGATTGCTCACCGCCAGATATCCATCTCGGTCACCGCACCATTCCTTGATTCCAAAACTCCATGTCCCTCATTCCACCGGCGGAACAAAACGAAGGCTGAGTGTATTCAGCTTGACGAATTTGGATTTTCCTCATTATACCCTCCTTGACCTTGACCTCGCTGTCGCAGAACGGAGTTCGGGTGTCGTAGACAGAAATGATGGGTTGGTCGTCCTAGATATGGGTGCACAGGTGAAGCAGAATGTCGGTGGAAAGGTCCCGAAGTATCGTCGGCGCGTGGAATAGAAATCAGATGAAAATAGATGAATGTGCCGTGAGGGCGTGGAGTACGGTTGTAGCTCGAGAGGGCTCAATAGATGCAAATATCCAGAGTGAGGGAGGAAGGGGTTCACTGGCGACGTAGTCACGGTGGACTACTCAAGTCACTGGTCGCAAGGAAAGATGTGGGTACGAAACAAATATACGGCCTGATGGCCGATGTACGGTAAGGTAAGCACGTAAATATAGATTGAAGGGAGAGCGACGAGCGGTCCAACCCGCCCTACCACATCGCATTTCTGTATGTGTTCCTCTCGTGCATTTCGTTGCGCTCACGCAAGGATGAATCCACAGGAAATTGGAAGACGGCTGGGGGAAATAGCGATACAACGAATTAGGGAAATACGGGTATGGTAAGTTCAATTCCGGTGAAATTCCGGTGTGGATTGCAGTTTTCTTAACTGATGTGACGTTGGTACTAGGACCACGCGTTCCAGCTTCGTCAGATCTTCTCACTCCAGCTTCGTTGAATCCTCCCGCTCCAGCTTCGTTAGATCTCGCTACTCCGCCTTCGCTCGGGCCTTGATGCCCATCGCGCGCCTATTTATTCTGGCGACGAGTAAGCAGCGACCGATGTACGAGTAGCTTGCTCCTGTTCTGGATACAGTACTCTGCACATTGTCATATTCCTGCCATCGTTCTTGAACGAGGGAGGAGCAATAGATTCCTCTCTATGTCCGGTCTCCGAAACATCAAAGCCAACACCTTCGAGCGTCTAACTTAGTTCCGTGAGTCATGCAGCGATGCTGAGTTTCACAGAACTTCTTTCAATATGAAACTCCGACAATTAAACTAACATAATTCTGGCATTTGCTACCTAATCGTCTCCAAGCTCCCAAATTATATGACCCTCTGTGCTTTGAACACTCTGCTGAACCATCTCTCCTCTGGTGATTTACCGTGGACACCCACCGCTTGTGCAGAAGGCCCTGCGATAAGAGTTAACTATGAGTTAACTGAAGAAGTAACTTCAAACAAGAATGACTCACGGTTTCGGGTGGTCGATGGATATCGGGCCTGGGAAGCAGCAGAACTCGCCTTTGGGGCCTACAGACAAGATTCTCATCAGTGCATGTAGCAGGGAATAGACTTCTTCATACAAGGCGGATCCTACAACGAACGGAATGATTGTCGGGCGAAATCGAAAGTCTTATGCAAACTGATACGCACATACGGTTTGCCGCCTGCGTAGGGTTGGGTGAATTCTGTTGCAGCCAATCAAGCTGACGATGACGTACAGGCTCCCACGGCTACGGCTCCCTGAGCAACGACAAGGAGGGTGAGGATGACAGAGAAAAATTTGTTGAACATTCTGTGAATGAGGAGAATCGCAGTATACCAGCCCCTCTTTATACTAGGGCTGTTCATTTATAATCAAGGCACGGTATGCCGCGGCGTAGATCTTTACCATTCATTTCGAGTCGTGTACCACCGTATTAACCCAATGGTAGTAATTATAATAGAATGGGACCAATGGAATTATTCGGGGCGTGCATTTCATCTCACCGTTATGCTGGAGGACGAGGCGTCGGAACCAGAGCCACAACGTTAAACAGAATAGAGCCCTTCGATCATTCATTTCGTACCTGCCCCATGCGACAACTCTGAGCTCGCCGCGATGTACAAGTCATTAAGTGACTGCGCAGGCAGGAGCGTCCACACTCCCATTGTTCTCCTCTGCAATGTCTTCCGTCAGGACCAATTGTGTGTTCAGGCACGGCGCCACTCACAGCCGTCAGAGCGAGATTAAGTCATTGAACATGCCCTGGCGTATGTTCTCCACTGTCACTTGTTGAGAGTGCTCCCGTACCTCTGGCCAGATCCTCCCGGGTTTCGTCACCCCGGCTGCATGATGGACGGGAGCGGCGATGATAGCGCGGATTATTCGTATGTAGGAAACCGCAGCCAAATGGGGTCGCTTCATCCTTTCGTCCAAATTGCTACTCATTTTCTGCCCATCATGTTCATTACTGATCAGTTCTATTTGTACATTGGACTTCCACTATTCCAGGCCCCAGTGTTTGTTTTCGCAACAGTCCGGACCATAGATCATCACGCAATCATCACATATAACAACATCTTTCAAAATGTCAACTGCCCCGGCCGTTGCTGTTTTGGTCCCAATTTATGCTCCGCGCCGTAAGATTTAAGATAGGTAATGAACCGGAGCGACTCAACTAGATTGTGCAACTAA